TTTTCTAATTAATATTATTTTATAACACTTAACAGCATGCAATCAGGAAACCAATCAAGATGAAGATAAAAAGACAAGTCTGCCAAACAAATCAAACTCAAAGTGGCGTATTTCCGATTCATATTTCGACATTCACATAAATCTATCAACGAAACCAAATTTCATATGGTCGGTTATCCATAGAAAATCCATAAATTTTCGAAAAAAAATTAAAGTTCCAATACAAAAAATCTTTCAAAGATTAAAATTTTAATTAGTTGGTTCTTTTTTTTTGTCATTTGATTTTTTATTTTTACTATATATTTTTCTTCTATTGGGTAATATATTTTTACTTGTAGATATATTTTGGCATTTTTATTCTAAAAGGTAAAATCATTAACCATAACTTAATGAAAATTACCTCTTTAATGAAATATTGAGTATTCACGAAATATGTGCAGTAGGAACAGCAATTTATAAATACATACATAAAGCATCGTTTATTTTATCATCATTTCACATAATCACTAAAATAAAGTGAACTCAAAAATGGATTCTAATACTCATGATTGTAGTAAATGTATAAATTGTCAAAAAATAAAGACTGCTATCGATGCTATAAATATTATAAACGAATTTATAGAGCTGAATGTTCTAGCAGAAATAATGATATGAATTCATACGTATAAAGATATCGATACGTACGTATTGATAATCTCAATTGGATACATCATGATACATGTACGTACATGTCTAGCGATAGTAATCGTCATCAGCATCATTCTATGATAGATATATAAAATTTATTTTTTATTCTTAATTATTCTAAAAATAATAAAAATTATACTTTCAAGTAATTTTTGTTCCAAATAAAAATTATAAATAATAACTTTTTTTGTTACTAAGATATAATAGTACATTTTTTGCTTACAAAGATGATATACTAAAATATTTTTATTTGCATTCTTAAATATTATATACAACAGAACAAATAAAATCATTCAAAAATAATTTAAAAAATCGGTTTGAATTATTATTTATCACTTTTAAATAGCATATTTATAGCAAGTAATAAAAAATACTTTGCTAAATTTGAAATTTAACAAATTAAAAAATTACTGATACTAGATTAAAACAAATACAGTATGATAAAAAAAAAAACACTAACGCTAGGCAAAGTTTTGGTCGAAATTGATCATCTTTATCTTTTTTTCTTTTAGGACAAAGCATATCGATATACGTACATGTAGCTGCTTCTATTTTTTATTTGTCAACTATTTTTTTAATTTTCTACTTTTAATTAAATCTGTGTATGGGAATAACAACAGTCGATTTATCGTTTTGTTTATTGCATTACGAAAACTTATCGTTATTACTTAAAAAAACCCAAGCTTTGCGCCAGCTTTTATAAATAAAAATGATTGATTTTTCTGAAAAGAAGTTACATGTATTTGGAATTGGCCGTGTGATCGTGACAAATCTGTTGTAGTGCACGAACAATTTATGATTGATAAAATCAATCAATGAATTACGTGCATCCGCTTAAAAGGAGAATTTGCACAACAAAGCGTTACTCAAAATGCTTTCTTTTAACAATACTGTACGTATATAATATGAAAATTCTTACAAAGCATAACGATAAACATTAGTAAAGAAGTTTATACATTTATTAAATACAAATCAATATCACTTATTTAAATATTATGCACCATAAAATGGTTAAAACTAATTAAAAAGGTTGTATTATCACCTTATGGAAAATTAAGTTTAAAATGCAGAAATTCGTTCATTGATTAAAAGACATAAAAAACAAGAACTTTAAAAAATCTACCACGTTTCGGACCCACCTCAGCAACAAAATGGCAAAAACAATCACTTATGCATGAAGTAATGAAGAATAGACTGCTTCTTTGCATGAACTAGCAACTAATGTTGGTCTCGGAGTTTCAACAACAACCATTAACAATTACCTTGATAATTAGCAGTTAAAAGCCATTTATTTCAGATGAAAATCAAAAGAAACGACTTATTTGGTGTAAAGAACATATTAATTGGGATACTATTTTCATCTATCAGGAATGTAATTCTAAAGTTCATACTAATAAGAAACTCGTGGATGGAAAAAACAGAATGAAATTGAATCCTTACCTTAGTCAGACAGTCGCCAGGTTTTAACTCAATAGAAATCTTTGGAAAATCTAAAAGACTGAATCCGACAACATAGACCATTTTCAAGAACAATATGAACTGCTGAAAATAACCCTAGAGGAAGGGTGGAACAAATTGGAACCTGGTATTCTATTTAACCTAATTAATAGTATGACAAAGCGTATTAAATGGTAATTGAGGTAAAAGGTGGACATTAAATACTAAAGTAGATTTGATAATAAACCTTTATAAAAGTTAGTTCAATGTAATTGTTTGAGGAAGTTTAAAGAAATCGTATTGAAAAATGGTGGTTTTCAAATTGTAGCGTATGATTGCTTTCGCTTTGTCTTATTTTCGGGTGAAAGAAGTGTTGACTCCAAACGACGTTTTCGGATGAATACGTATATTGATGAATTATAATTGGTTCTTCTATCATTGGTCAGGATAGCAAATAAAAAATATAATTTTTATCCGTTTAATGTGATTCTATAACGACGATGCATGATATTGGAAGTGTTTCATCATTAAGTTGTTCTTCCTGAAAAAACTCGATATTGGAAGTGTTTCATCATTAAGTTGTTGCTCTCCTTGAAAAAACTCGATATATCCATTCTCGTTGATTCTGTTTTACAACCCCAAGGAATTCAAGAGATTAATGAAAAAAATAATAAAACAAGTAAGTTTACCTTCGTTTGGAACAATCAAATCGACACTTGTCAACCCTAAACATTCGATATGAATTATATGTACATGTATTTAGAAAAAAAAAATACTTGTCAGTTGGAATTGAAATTAAGTTTGAAGTAAACATTCGATGGGATAAACTGCGTTTTAGTGGATTTGTTTTTCGTTCGTATTTGTAGGAATGCTCTCTTTAATTTCATCTCCTTATCAAGTTCGTATAATTTCTGCCTTTCCAGTTTGAGACACTCTTTAATTTCTTCATGGGTTTTAGGATATTCTAAAGAGCTGTAGTACTGAAAATACAAATTATTCAGTTCGTCATCGTATCCTCTGATAGCGCTAATAGAGTTGATAAAATGTCCAAATTCCTTAGCAATTGATCTATTTATTGGAATAGAATCCCAACATTTTTCAATAATAAATTTGCACCATCCGGGGACATTATTTGGTATCTTAGGTCGTATAATGCATGAAATCTAAAGTCATCAAACGTTTGTATTTTATAAAATGTATAAACTTCTTTACTAAGAAGTAAATACAAAATTTAATCCGTGAACATGTTCAGAAAGGGACTATTCTATAATATTCACGGATTAAATTTTGTATTTACTTCTTAGTAAAGAAGTTTATACAGTTTATAAATACAAACGTTTGGTGACTTTAGAATTTATGCACCATACTCGATATTACATGACAGACGGCATCACATATCGATATCGATATTGATTCGATTACTGTACGTATTCAGAAGTACGTATTATCGTTATCGTTCCTTTTCTGGAATTTTGACAACTATTCCTTTCCAGAACAAACCAGCAGCTTTGAAGAAATAGTTTGATGTGGAAATTCACACAATCTGTAGAATGAATGACAAACGCACCAATTTTTCCGCTAGTATACGTCGTATACATAAGTATAAATCTGATTAAATAATATTATCATTCCATGTACATGTATAGCACATTATTAACAGTACATGAAAAATTTTGCTTTAATGTAAGATCAAACTTTCTAGTCTGATGTGTTAGTATATCGAGAAACGAAAGAGACTATTTAACTATGTAATTGATAAACTTTAGAAAGTAAAAAAAAAATGATATTACTTTAAATACACATAAAAGAAGTAGATTTAATAAAATAATTCGATAAAAATTAATAGTTAAATAATAAATATAACGATAAATATTTGTGTAAACAAAGAAATGAAACCGCTTTGGTTGTCGTGCCTTAACTCTAACAACCCTCACATCTATCGACTGCTCTATCCGTTAATAGATTACTATTTTTTTGGGAATGAAATTTAGTATACCACATGAAATCTAATATTAAGTATTCGTTTTGAACAAATTTATGTACAACATTAATTGATGGTTTATATCGAAGGCAACGAGACCATCCTCCTCGTCTGGAAGCGGAATTGCCAAGGTTGCCGCAAAAATAGATAGGATAATAAAGCGATAAAGGAAAGCTTCATATTATGCATGGTGATTATGTTAACGTTAAAACTTTTTGATTTTTTGAAAAAAGTTTGCGAGTAAGTATACAGGTTGCAAATTTCAATAGATCATAAATTTGTCAAACAGCGATATTTAATAAAATTTTGCAATTGCAATTTTATTTGTTCCTTATTATTTAGGCTAACGAGAGAAATTATTTATTTCTAGAAAAACTTGGGTAGTATACAAATACGTACTCGAGATTTATAATACATGTACGTAGTAATAATGTACATAGCGATAGCGATAGCGTGATAAATTTAATTCTAATTTGAACTTTAAACACAATATCATTGATTAATTAAAAATTGGTCGCGAAAAGTGATACGATATGCGTGACAAAAAAATGAATTCAATATCGTTTTTTCCGTATCTCATTTGTGCGCAAGGAAAGTTTCAAAACATCAATGTAACGGTAAGAATTATTGATCAATATTTAGTAAATATTTACACGAAAAATTAGACTTAGTGTTTATGTTGTTTTCCATATATTATTGTGTCTCTAATATTTAAAAATAGCACTATATACAATGTAATTAACCAATCTATAATTTAATTTAATTTACTTGGCTGCAATAAAGAATAGAGCTTTGATCTAATAAGGAGGAATTTGTCATTATAAATGAATACAAGTGTGTGTCGTGTTTCATGTGCGAATTCAAAGCCAACGATGATGACACAACAAACGACAAACTAAACTTCTCCGCCATAATCTACTTTAATAACAGTATCATCACTTCTGGACACATACCACTCGTCAGCAAAACTCAACTCACTCATCTGTGTCATAGTCGTCGTCTCACTTAAGAATGATCTCGGCGATGGGTTTGGCGTAGTTATATTACTGGAAAAGTTGTTTTCGAGTATTAATGTTTTCGAGATTTTTTTGTTGTTTAAATATTGTTTGCTACCTTTTCTGATGATGCTGCGTAAAGGTTTCTTGAGTGATATGGTTCTCTCGAAATTACTAGTGCTATGGTGGCGGTTGTGGCTATTGTCGTTTTCTTTTCTTCTTATATTTTGTAATTTAACCGTGTTTTTGATCAAATATGATTCGGTTGGTTCGTAATAGAAGCATGGAAGGAGCAGAGCCGCCGAATGACGTGTTCCAAAGACTAAAAAGAGTGCTATTCCGCTATTACAATTTCCAACACGCGCAATTCATTATTTGACTGATTTTAAAAGAAAAGGCATTCATTCGATAAAAAATCAAAGACTTACACAATGCTCCCAGTATATTCGGCAATCGTAAGTTTCTCACTATCCGGAATACTATTGGCACGTTTCACTATTCTTGGGACAGACGAGGCTAAAAGGAGCGCGACAAAAACAAGACTACAAACTAAAAGTCTAACAGCTTCGCCCAATTTTACTGCTGTTCCTCGATTTTGTGTTCGTGCAAATCTTCTCGAGTGTTTGGCTAATAGAAAACCGGAACAAACTGGTACGAAGACCAATTTTCAGTAAGCGTAATGAAGACAAAAATCAAAAAATCCACAGCAAAATTATAAATTTCCTCCTTACGAGTAAAAATCACAGCAAAAAAAGTCATTATACTTGTCGTTATTAAAAACGACAACCAATTCTGCATCAAAGACGTCGCTTTACAATGCAACCGATCAGCTTCCACGCCCCAATCGTCCAACTTGCTCGAGAATCCCAATCTGACCACCTGATAAATAGCATTAAATCCCCAAATAGCAATTGAAACCCACCGACAATATTTCTGCTCGATTGTGAAATCATTTCGTGCGAGTGCATACCAAAGATAAAAAGTCAGCGTCGTGGAAAATAACTCTAATGGGAAAAAGAAAAATTGTGTGATTTTTTGCACGATGATGCACAGTGAGGATTCGGATGCGTGCTCTCTTAGTTGGTCGCCATACATTATTATAGGAAAAAGATTTGGTAGTTGATTGAAAAATGCGGATATGCATAGTTGAAAGAGTGTCCATTTTGTAAAGTAACCTTTTGTTTTTATTATTTGCGTCATTAGCAGTATTAATAGTAATATGCCTATTAGCTCTAGAACAATGTATAATATTACAGGCGCTGAATATGTAGTCATGGTAGAGACTAAGTTAATGTAGTTTTAGGGAAAAAATAAAAAAGATGGTTCATTCAACTTTGGTCTATTTATTTGTTACAAAATTCAAACAAAATCTGTAATACAGATACCATTTCGGACATAATTAAAAGACACAAAACTTTATCTTTAGCATGTTTCTAATACATGTAATATTATGAACACGTTTAGTTCGAAATTACAGATAACTGGTTCAAGAATGACGATAAAGAAATAATTTGCTATTTTGTCTTGCATTTTTGTATACAAACAGTGTAAATTGCTCATCATAATCATAATCAAATCTTAATATTACGTAATGATAACGATAACAGATAACAAACAATCATTTGATGTCAGGTGTGTCTAATGATTGGCTACGGTAAAAGGTTGATACATGTACAACGAATCATGCGGCTGATACAAAAGCATTGAAGATAGCATATCGATATTTTTTTTACCTAGTTAAGGTGGTGCGTTTCATTACACATATTCTGTTACCGAATTTCTGTCTATTTCTACCATGTTTCAATGTAGATGAAATTTTTTTGGACCGCGTACAGTTTTACGTATTTAATAGTCTTTATATTCTAAGGACAAATAAAGCGCTTTAGTTTAATAAAAATTTTGAACCGTTGAATTTGGAATTTTTAGATATAATAAGTTACTTGCTTCCTGTAATTTATTTAATTTTAATTATATCTCAACAAAATTCCTTCAAAGAACCAAGAAAGAAATGGCGGCCTATTCTCCTTTCATAATCCTAAAATTGTTAAAGCTAGTTCTCTTATCACTGCTAATAAAAATAATTTTATAATCAAAAGCATACTTCACAAAATGGACACTTTTCCAATTATGCATATCAGCGTTCTTTTCACCAATTCACACAAATTCTACCAATCCTTATATACGGCAATGACCTACCGAAATGTGCGTTTGACATGCCAACGTGTATGATTTCCCAGAAAATTTGTCAAATTTTTTATCTGCTATATGTGTTTACTTTCTTTTTATTTGTGGCGTATGTGAAAGACGATGTTAGGATAGAGACGATTGATCCGATGGGATTTTGGCGTGTGAATTCTGTGTATTTTGTGATTCGGATGTGGATGGACGTCGCGGACGAGCATTTGCAAGTGCAAATGAATCAGTTTGTTTGTCGCGGGTCTTTGGCACATGGTAGCTGGTTATCTGCGTTGATACCGTAGTTGTGACTGCATATACCGTAGTTGTGACACCGTAGTTGTGACTGCATTTGATTTCTATTGCTATGACTTGCAAAGTCAAAAATCATTTGGTACATAAAAACAGGTCATTCTTGTTTTATATTATTTACGATTGGCAAAGATTCTCGCTCAACCACAATACAAATCGGAATAACCGCTCGTCCGTCTGACCATTTACAGCTTTTGTTATGCTGTCATATTGTTATTAGCTTTAATATTGTATCTCGTCAATAACGCTTGCGAAGATTCTCACGAATCAAGTCTTACGAATTTCGCAGAGTATTCTTTTAGCGTCTCGTAAGCAGAAACATTTTACCGAATTGAATTCAAAATTCCGATGTAAAAAAAAAAAACGCTCATGCTCGTATGACGAATAAATTTTTAGAGGCATCATATTATTTTTAATTTTCGGAACCGAGCGATGGCAATATGCCTACCATGCTGCTACTACTCACGCCCGAATCAAAAAAGACTTGCATGTTTACTCAGATGAAAAACACCACGACAAACGGAGGCGACAGCCAAAAATTGGATGAGACTTCGGAGAATTACGAGTATTTCTTTCTACCTGAACGAGCGCTATCATAGCTTAAGCATGTGTACACTGTGTGTATAATGCCGTTTCATTCCATACGTTATCTAAGCTTTCATATACGTACTTTCTAAAATAATACCGATTTTGCAGATTTATTTTTCAGTAACGAATCGCATCAATCACATGTTCTACGCATTTACATTACGTATACTTCAAAATCAGCGAAAGGATTTTTGTTACGTGAATTTCGATGCGGCATATAGAAATTCGACACATATTCTCCGGTTTTTGAAATGACGTCTTCTTTGCAGTCCTGTTGAACATTTTCTCAATATTCGATGATTGTGATACGACGAGGATGGAGAAGCAAAATTGACATTCATTTAAAAAAAAATGGTCAGTGTAAGACAGAATGCAGCTAATCTTGTTACAAAGGTGATAGCTTAATTATTCTGTTATCTCGGTCTATTGCTGCTGTGATCAGTTAAACGTGAAATTAAAGTTAGCAAGGCATATATAAAACTGCAGCTGTTAGGTAAACAGCGATTCTGCTAGCCACTACATTATGCAAAGATTATTGACATAAGCTGAAATTGGTTTAAAATTGATGACTAAAAGAGTTGCATAATAATACGTAACCTAGTAGAAATGAATACATTTCACAATGCGTAACCTTAATACGTACTCTACAGTATATTACCAGAAATTTCAAAAATGAATTTGTGACTTTGTAATCCGATATCTCGACATCCAGTGATCCCGTTTGAACAAAAATATCACCATTAGATTTGCCTTGATTATGCGAATCTAATGGTGCTATTTTTGTTCAAACGGGATCACTGGATGTCGAGATATCGGGTGACAAAGTGACAAATTCATTTTTGAAAATACATCATTTTTTGCTTTTTTCTTGTACGTGTCTTTTCTTAGTTCATCACTATTTATTGTAGCACGGCATACCGAAAATCTTGAGTAAATAATATTAATATTATCGTTATCGCACACAACCCTAAATTTTATGATTTAATTAATTGAGGCGAAATGAATTCTTTCTTCGAAAAAAGATGTAATTAAAAAAAACAACCATTGTACACACTCCTACAGTATCAATCACGAGCTATTCTGTATTAATAAAGCAATCTGACTGTTAAGAATACTAAATTTCGAATACCTATTATGAAAAAAGGTTTGTAGTAAACCACGTGATTGTGATGTAAGACGTTCATGATCTGAGTGTCACCTGATAAGATTCATTTTCTAGTATCGCTATGCAATAAATCTGAATATTACAAGTCTCAGATAATCACCGAGAGACGGTATGATTTGAATTTTTTCACTGTTATTAGGCCAGATCAACGATGAACTCGCGTTACAGGAAAGCGAAAAATTAAACTTTGCTTAATACGGTTGTCACGTGTACCAGCCGAAAGTGCTAGAAGAAATAGTTTGCGTAATCTGTCTTCGTAATAAATCCCATATGTATATCAATTTGTACATCTTTCAAAACCACAAATTCTTTCCTCATATATTGCAAAACAAAAAAATGGCAACCTTGTTCTACATCTAACGTTAGCGGCGTCAAGAGGTGTGTGGTTTCTAACTTCGCTTCAAACCTCATGAATTTTGTATACCATTTTCATTATCGTTATGCTAGATCAATAAATCCGTGAGTTTTATACTTATGTTACCAAATTCGTTTTATGCATTATATAACTAGAGCCAACATAAGGTACTTGTACAAACGAATCTGTCGTTCAAAAGGACTGAATATTTTATGAGCTAGTGACCGATATAAGCTAATTTTCGCTGATTACATCAAGATTTCCATACACGCTCGCTGACGGAGTTACATTATAGGAATATGAACATCACACTGACGAGTTTAACGTCCATGATCTATGTGAATGGTCCGATTATAAATAAAGTCGTGATTTATAAACTTTCATTAAAACCGCATAAAGTCACTATTGGTGCGATTTCTACAATGATAAGTGGGGCTTGCATTAGTGTTGATGGGACCGATGCCGAGTTTATAACTAAGAACTGAGAAATCTAATAATTGACACTTACGAGTTTATAACATTGAACTAATATTTGTTTCTTAAAGAAACATGTAGTGATAATTCTGGAAAAGAAGCCGACGTGTCGTTTCACCCACCGAACCACAAGTGCCTGCACTAACGGGAAGTGGTGGAAAGTTTTCTTTCTATTGCTTCAAAGCTAAGATTCATGCTTTCACGATTTCAGAATGAATTTTGGTCAAACCTTGTTATTGAGGTCGCATATTCGGAAATAGTCAATCATGTTTTGGATAAAGTAACAAGAAACCAGCCTTTTATTTCTAGAACTGAGGTACAACTCTAATTATTTCTAGAACTGAGGTACAACTCTAATAATCTTTTCTATCAAAGTGTCAAAATTTCTAACTTGGATGATTCATTGTTATTTCGAATTTGACACCCACGATGAATTTGGGAATGTGCTGAATATTCAGCCGAGCACATGCATAATCAATCTTGAGTTACAGTGTCTTTTACCATGATGATGTAGTTTCATGTATATCCGAATTCCTTCAAATGTTCTTCCCGATCCCATTGTAATAGATTTCTTACTCCTTCGAACCAAAATCTTCCGTGCGTATATAATAGAAAAGAAGGCTAGATTTTACAATCGATAATTATAGAGGTCATTTGCAGAAATAAAAAAATTATTTTTTGATTCAAAATGATAAATAAACGAAGCATAATCAAAAGTAAAAACAATGCAATTTATACATCCGTAAACTAATTCAAACGAGAAAATGCAAGAAAATCTTCAATTCTTTTGAATGGATCCCTTTTGATGTTAAAATCTTACTAAACGAGATTTTGGAAAGATTTATAACGCATTATTGCACGATTACAAATGACAAATTGTGTCGATAATTCAAAGCAAATCACACGAGAGTTTATAAACGAGGTAAAAATCTAAAATGTTCTGATTTAATCAAGCTTTTCAAAAATAGATTCAGATTACATTACATTAAAATGCATTACGAAACTTCTAAAATACAGCTACAAATATCAATGGGCCGAAAAAAATTCACAGAAAAACTTGTGCATCAAACTGCAAATATATTAAGGCTTTCATTATCCAGTAGATCGAGTACGCAAACGTTGTCGTTATACTTTTAATATCAGTTTGATGTCTTAAAGTTATTTGCGCGTAAAAAAATTTTAATCTTAATATTATCTTGATCGGCATTAATAATATTCCAAGATCTCGTATAATGCTTAACAGGTAACCCACGCCCTTTTAACCAAAAAAAAAAACGAAAGAAAAAAAGAAAGAAAAGAAAAAAGAAAAGAAAGAAAAGAAAAGAAAAAAAAGAAGAAAGAAAAGAAAAGAAAAGAAAAGAAAGAAAAGAAGAAAGAAAAAAAAGAAGAAAGAAAAGAAAGAAAGAAAAAAAAGAAGAAAAGAAAAGAAAAGAAAGAAAGAAAAAAAAGAAGAAAGAAAAGAAAAAAAAGAAGAAAGAAAAGAAAGAAAGAAAGAAAAGAATCAGCATCAGCAACATCAACATCAGCATCAGCATCAACATCAGCATCAACATCAGCATCAGCATCAACATCAGCATCAACATCAGCATCAACTCAGCATCAACTCAGCATCAACTCAGCATCAACTCAGCATCAGCATCATCATCAATCATTATCATCAATGATATCATTGTGATCAAAGATCGATTTATGATATTGCAGAAAGCTCTCTGTTCT